TGGTAGCAGCTGTGTGTGATAAGTTTCAGGTGAGCTTGTGATTAGTGCAATAGAGCATGGGAAATGTAGTCCAGGGTGATGTGTAACAGTCTGTGTGGTGTGAGAGTCAAAATAGTGGAAGGGCGACCTCTGGTGGCAAGTGGATGGAAGTTCATGGACAGGATTCGTGGCATCATGAGAACTGAAAAGCCTGTCAAAGCTTTCAGTAGCAACTTAGTCAGTAAAGACTTATGAGAATAAGAAAGGCAGCTGTTTCCCATGTTCAGATGAGAGACACTGACTTTGAAGATGTAGAAGTTGATCATAGAACACGTCAACAACATCAGAAATGTTTAAACAATCTTATGTTAGTCTATTGAGCCATCAGAAGGTTGGGAAACACATCTGTCCGTATTTGTTTGTATATATTAGAATGAAACCAAGAGTTTTCTATGACAAATCCAGGAACTGACCGCTCCTTTGAGACCATACTCTAACAATTTCTTCCACTAATCTATATAATGTTTATGTTAGACATTGAACTTGGGTAAATAGAAATGTGGGTAAATACAAATTTCAGTATTATGGACTAATTAACTGTTCCCCACAATACTGATATCACATTGAAAGAACATGCTAAATTCTTGCTCATGCTCTCAATTAAGGCTGGAATTCCCTACATGATTTTTGCCCAGATATTTGTTCCAATTTACAGCTGGACAAGTTGATGCTAGTTGCCGAACGTCAGAGCCAGCTTGTATATTTGAGTTGATAGATTACACTGAAAATCGTGGCCACAGACACATTTTAAACTTCAGCCTATGTTTACGTCCAGTCGGAGGATAAGCTATCAAACATGTTTGATATTTTGAGCCGATTTCAGAACACATTATTTTAATTTGTCATGTGTTCACATGTCATGCCTAGTAATGAGGCGAATGTTTTTGTTATTTGTGTTGTTCAGGACAACTTGTCTAGTAGTGTGTGACTTACTAGAGTCGTTCAACTTAGTTGTTTATGATGCCCAGTTTTGCCTCCATTTACAAAGGTGGCAACTATGATGCATGTTGTTTTAAAATCTGTTCAGATTTTAAAAGTCGTGTAGTGTATTCCAGCCTTTTCTAGTTCAATCTACTGGATACCATTTGATGTTTCACATTACCTGTAAACATCTATTTGGAACTCTGTACAAACTACCGGCATATGCTTGTTACAGAGGAGGTTCCCGTACCGCCTCTTCCTCACCACCAGAGGGAACTCTCTCCTGAATATTGACTTTATCCATTCGGACTCTAGTTCCCATCATGCCTCATACCTGGGACTGATTGCACGCACACACCTGCATCTAATTACACTCACACGTTTAAGCCGGACACTCACATCAGCTCTCTGCGAAGTCTTTATTTGCCCTGGCTGTCACTACTGAGCGTTTACCCTGTATCTTGCCTACTCGTTTGACCTTGGACTGTTTATCGTTTCCTGATTAGTCTCTGCCTGCCCTGACTTGGATTGTTCTTCTACTGTGATTGTCTGCCGCTTGCCCCGACCTCCTGCCTGTCCCTCGTTTTGTCTCAGCCTGGCCTCCGCTATTGTATCTACTGGTGATTGACCCTGTCTTGTCTGTTTGCTCAATAAAAGCTGCAAATGGATCCGGACTCTGCTGATGCGTCGCAACAGAAAACTTCGCCATACAGAGATCCAGCAGCACTCATGCAATTATCCACTGAGCTATCTGCACAGGCCACACAGCTCGCCATGCATCACCACCAACTAAATCGGCTTACCTCACTCACCGAGGAGTTAGTGAAAGCGCTGCAAGGCCTTCAAATAATGCCAGCTGCGGCTGCAGCCTGCTCGGTCCGGCCATCATCCAAACCCCGATCGGTGAGTGTCAACACTCGTATCACTACTTCTTCCTCAAGCATAAGGTTGCCGGTTGAAATAACTGTCAATGATAAAAATTATTACCTCTACCGCCCTGTTAGATTCCGGGTTGGCTGGAAACTGTGTTTTACATGAATTCACCCTGCAACATAAACTCACACTTAACCCTTGTAATTTCCCTTTGGCAGTGGAGGCGCTAGATGGCCGACCCCCACGGAAAGGGGAAAGTTTTACGTATCACAGAAGAAGTCAAACTACAAATAGGAACCCTTCATTCTGAATATATCAAATTCTACGTCATCCAGTCTCCCAATCATGCTATCATTCTTGGATTACCCTGGCTGCGCACCCACAACCCACGCATTTCCTGGAGAGTGGGACAAATCGTTCAATGGAATGCTACCTGTCAAGATCACTGTTTGTCAAGGATCACACGGTCACCCCTCCAGGATTCGGTTCCATCTGTTCAAAACACAGACGAATTAAACCTGCCGTCCGAATATGCTGACCTAGCCGAAGCCTTCAGTAAAAAGAAAGCTTTACAGCTCCCAACCCACCGATCCGTCGATTGCACCATAGATCTGATACCCAGCGCCACCCCTCCAAAGGGGAGGATCTGTCCATTATCACAACCTGAATCAGAAGCTATGAAAGTCTTTATCGAAGAGGAACTGGTCAAAGGATTGATTAGACCCTCGACTTCTCCTGCCTCGGCTGGGTTCTTTTTTGTAAAGAAAAGGATGGAGGGTTGCGGTCATGCATTGATTACCGTGGCCTTAACAATATTACTGTTAAGTTTCGTTATCCCCTGCCACTGGTCCCCGCAGCGCTAGAACAGCTCCGCCAGGCCAAATACTACACCAAGTTGGATCTACGCAATGCTTACAACTTAATCCGCATTCGAGAGGAGGATGAATGGAAAACGGCATTCTCTACCACTAGTGGGCACTACGAATACTTGGTTATGCCCTTCGGCCTGGCAAACAGTCCCTTGATCTTCCAATCCTTCATGAATGACGTTTTTCGGGACATGCTCAACAGATGGGTAATCGTGTACATCGACGGCATCCTGGTTTATTCAAAGGGGCAGTTCTGGAATGGCCGCTTACCCAGACAGTCAAGGATTTACAACGCTTTCTGGGTTCTCGTCAAACGGAGGAGACGTGCTGCTCAAACATCAATGAAAGTATAATTCCTGAGAACTTCCTCATCGCACCCGTACAGTGGGACATCATGACCGAAGCAAACAAGACACCTCTAACACCGGGGTAGGCGTGATACTTTCCCAACGTCATGGATCGTCAGCAAAGATGTACCCTTGTGCCTCCTTTTCACGCAAGCTAACCAACGCAGAATGGAATTATGATGTGGGCAACCGTGAACTTCTGGTCATGAAATTAGCATTAGAGGAATGGCGCCACTGGCTGGAGGAGGCCTCACACCCGTTTATAGTTCTCACCGATCACAAGAATCTTGAATATCTACGCTCGGCCAAACGATTGAACCCAGGCAGGCAAGGTGGGTGTTATTCTTCACTAGATTTCAGTTTAATGTATCGTACAGACCAGGCACCAAGAATATCAAAGCCGACGCTCTCTCTCGTCAAACCGAGGAGACGTTCTGCTCAAACTATATATATAGTTGTATACTTCCTGAGAAACTCCTCATCGCACCCGTGCAGTGGGACATCATGACCGAAGCAAACAACTTGAACCTCCAGAGTCCGCCACCTCCTGAAAGTCCCCCCAATCTCACCTATGTTCCTGAATCACTACGAGAGCGTCTATAGACACAAGTACATGTTCTGCCAAGCTCGGGACACCCCGGAATCACTGCCACTGCACATCTGCTCCAGAACCGATTCTGGTGGCCAACTCTGTTATCTGATACAACCAAATTCGTCCAAAACTGCATTACCTATAACACTTCGAAATCACCCAGACAACTACCAGCAGGCCTGTTACAACCATTGCCCATGCCACAATGCCCTTGGTCTCACATCGCCATTGACTTCATCACCGACCTGCCCAACTCTCAAGGTAATACCACTATCGCCTTCAAAAACCTCAATGTAAACATCAGCCTCACATCTGGCTACCATCCTCAGTTCAACGGACAGACAAAGTGCCTGAATCAGGAGATCATCCGGTTCCTTCGAACGTATTGCCAGCAACAACAATCAGACTGGAGCAGGTTGTTTTGGGCGGAATAAGCTCAGAATTTCCTCATGAAACCCGCCACAGGGGTGACTCCCTTTAAGTGCATGCTGGGCTTCCAACCGCCCTTGTTCCCCTGGGCTGGCGAGCCCACTGACCTCCCTTCAGTCACAGACTGGTTACAACACAGTGAGGAGGTCTGGGACCGAGCCCATACTCATTTGCTACATGCCGTTAGGAGAACAGAGCAACAGGCCAACCGACGCCCCAGTCCCGAATACGCTCCATCTCACCTATGTTCCTGAATCACTACGAGAGCGTCTATAGACACAAGTACATGTTCTGCCAAGCTCGGGACACCCCGGAATCACTGCCACTGCACATCTGCTCCAGAACCGATTCTGGTGGCCAACTCTGTTATCTGATACAACCAAATTCGTCCAAAACTGCATTACCTATAACACTTCGAAATCACCCAGACAACTACCAGCAGGCCTGTTACAACCATTGCCCATGCCACAATGCCCTTGGTCTCACATCGCCATTGACTTCATCACCGACCTGCCCAACTCTCAAGGTAATACCACTATACTTACGATTATAGACCGATTTTCCAAAGCATGCCGTCTAATTCCCCTGCTTAAACTCCCCACGTCATTCGAAACTGCTGAATTACTGTGCAATCATGCGTTTCGTTTCTATGGTCTACCTGAGGACATTGTCTCAGACTGGGGTCCCAGTTCACCTCAAGGGTATGGACCGCCTTCTTCAAACACCTAAATGTAAACATCGGCCTCACATCCGGCTACCATCCCCAATCCAACGGACAGACAGAATGCCTGAATCAGGAGATTATCCGGTTCCTTCTATCATATTACCAGCAACGACAATCAGACTGGAACAGGTACTTGTTTTGGGCGGAATATGCACAAGATTCCCTCATGAAACCAGCCACAGGGGTGACCCCCTTTAAATGCATGCTGGGCTTCCAACCGCCATTGTTCCCCTGGGCTGGCGAGCCCACCAACCTACCTTCAGTCATAGACTGGTTACAACGCAGTGAGGAGGTCTGGGACCAAGCTCATACCCACTTGCTACATGCTGTGAGAAGAACAGTCCCAAAAACACTCCAGGCCAATGGGTTTGGCTTTCAACTAAGGATCTGCACCTCAGACTCCCATGTAAAAAGTTCAGTCCCAGATATGTTGGTCCATTCAAGATTTTAAGACAAATAACTCCAGTATTGTTCCGTTTAGATCTGCCCACTAACTATCGTATATATCTCTCACTTTCCATGTATCACTTCTGAAATCCGCTGGTGGTCTGGGAGGAGAGTCGGAGGAGGGAGCCAGGCTGCAGACCCCCCCGCCTATTCTGGTTGACGGCGAGAAGGCATATCGGGTGCACAAGCTGCTTGACTCCAGGCGCCGGGGTGGCACCCTCCAGTATCTGGTCGATTGGGAGGAGTACAGACCGGAGGAGCGATCCTGGGTCAATGTCGGAGATCTCCTCGACCCCACACTCACAGAAGAGTTTCACAAGACGCATCCAGAGAAACCGGCCCCTCGACCTCGTGGTAGACCCCGGCGTCGCTTGCCTCCCCGCGTCAGGAGCCGCTCACAGGGGGAGGGCTCTGTCACAGAGGAGGATCCCGTACCGCCTCTTCCTCACCACCAGAGGGAACTCTCTCCTGAATATTGACTTTATCCATTCGGACTCTAGTTCCCATCATGCCTCATACCTGGGACTGATTGCACGCACACACCTGCATCTAATTACACTCACACATTTAAGCTGGACACTCACATCAGCTCTCTGCGAAGTCTTGATTTGCCCCGGCTGTCACTACTGAGTGTTTACCCTGTATCTTGCCTACTAGTTTGACCTCAGAGTGTTTATTGTTTCCTGATTAGTCTCTGCCTGCCCTGACCTGGATTGTTCTTCTACTGTGATTCGTCACTAATCACGCAACGCCAAAGTGCTATGTCATCCGCCGGAAAGCTTCCGCGTACCACAGATACCGCAAGTGAGAGAAAAGTGCTTATTACGTTTGAAATATGGATATTTTTCTTACAAAAACACATGGATTCGCTACAGGAGGCCTTTATTCACCCCCCGGAGCCGTATGAGGCCCATTTTATTGGATGCGCGTGCTTTATTTGACGACTTGTGGACTGTTCAACTGCAACACCCGCTGACTACAATGATAGAGCTTGGAATAGCCAGGACGATTTTTTATATAACTCCGACTGGATTTGTCTGAAAGAAGAAAGTCATATACACCTAGGATGCCTCGAGGGTGAGTAAAACACAGGCTAATTTTCATTTTTGGGTGAGCTAACCCTTAAATTGTGTTAGCCCTTCTAAACTTGGCATCTGTGTACTTAACCTAATGCTGAGGTCATCTGAAATCTGACCTTGTCAACAACACATTATGTTTGAGTTCTAGTCATGGTGCTTAACCTGGGTGGAATGAAGTTCACAGTATCTATTCAAGTTCTTTAGATGACAACTTTATAACCCACATTCTTAAAAATATAGGTTCTTTATTGGCATTAATGGTTCGGTGAAGAACCTTTATCATCCATAGAAACCTTTGCATTCCGAAATAGTCTCTTTATAGTGTAAAAAGGTTCTTTAGAAAATGTTCTTCACACTCACGCACACATACACACACACATTGGGTTTCCATGTTTTATGGGGATTTAAAATTTACTGGAATTACTATACTTGTGGGGACATTTGATCCCCATAATATAGGGAATACCAGGTACACACACACACACACACACAAATATTTCTTTTACAGAAAGGTACTTTAGGGAACCCCAAATGGTTCTGCTATTGCATCACTACAAAATTCCCCTTTTTGGACCTTTCTTTTTAAGATTGCATTGCTATATCCATATAATTTACTACTAAATGCAAAACTCTTAATTTAGGTGCTCTCTTATTGTCAACTGGCAAATCATTCATCTTCACTGTCATAAATATGATTGAGATGAGGTCCAAGCATACATCCCTACACAAATTGAAGCTCATTCCCTGAGCATGAGTTCTCCAATTAGTGCTGGGGCATGTCAAGTCATCTGCAATCTTCAGTATTTCAGAGGCTTTCCCACAGAACCATTATCATTTCAAGACTAGCTGATTGCAGGTTGTTGACAAGAATCACACATTAATTTATCACCTTAACAAAATGCTTTACCATCATGTAGACTTTTGTGAGTTGAAATATGAGAGCTTAAATTAACCGGGATGAGGACGCTCATGATGATAACAGGGAGAGAGTGCTGGTGAAGAATAAGAAGGACTCTTGTGGAACAGGATCTTTTGTTTGGGACCAGAGACTTCCAAAGATGTTTTGTCTGACACAGGATCTGTGCCCCTGATTTGTTGCATTGTTTCAGAGAGAAGTATGCGTGCCTTAAAGGGATAGTTCACCCAAAAAATGGGATTGTTATGTTTATCTGCTTACCCCCAGGGCATCCAATATGTAGGTGACTTTGTTTCTTCAGTAGAGCACATTTGATGATTTTTAAGTCCAACCGTTGCAGTCTATCAGTCGCATAATGCATGGCAATGGTAACAAAATCTATGAACAGACAAACATGCACAGACAAATCCAATTCATTTTTTATAATTTTTTACCTCTAATACACCACTATGTCCAACTGTCTTTGGGCACACACACGGCTTCCGGTGCGTGAGGTGTGTACGCGCTCTGGCGTAGTTTACGCAAGCGTCGGAAGTGATCTCTCGCGCATAGTCACTCATTGTTTACACAGTGCACAGTCATTGTAGGTACGACGGCTAATCAAAATGGAACTTACTTTCGCTTATCCGGATTGTTCAAACTTACTTCAAACTAAAAGATTACATTCTCTCGCGCGAACTCATTAGGGAGTGGTGACTTTCCACGTATTCCCAACTTCTGAGCCTGCTTGCCTGAATTTATGATTGATTGCTCTTCGGCTGGATATCAACACACTGTGACAAGTCGGCTGCCTCCCCCTAATTATCAGCATCACCCCGTTCCTTAATCGCCGCCCTTCGCCAGGCTCCCAACATGAGTGGGTGAGTGAGAGAGGAGGGGCGCTGAAATAGCCAGGGCTGGCGGCATGTGATGGGGCACACCTGAACCGAATAGAGCCTTTTTTAATTGTGATGATTTTTGCTCACATTTAACAAAAACCCACCAATTCACTATCTCAATTGTTTATGGGGTCACTGCACTAAAACGGATTTGAAAGAGTGGAGACCATCGCTTCACAGAGATTTTTCGGGGTCGGATTTCAGCAGTCCGTAGCGCTGTTTAGTGTTGAGACTGAGGCAGTCTTTTTTCAGCCAGTCTGAAGTGAGAGACTGGAGAGTCAGTCAGGAGGAGAGAAGTGAGAGAGGACACAGAGAGAGTGGGTGACAGCACTCTGGAAGTGTTGAGTTCCAAGTTTTTGCACTAATCTTATGCTCAAACTGCTGAAGAAAATTAAACTTTGGTAAGTGAATGGGATGAATAAATAATTTATCATGAAAACAGTTGTGGACATTTGTGTAGTGTAGTTAACATCACTGCATTCGCTTAGGCTCCTGTCATGGCTCGTTGGTGCGCATCTCGCCTTGGGTTCTCTCTCATCTGCACTTCATGTGATGGAAGGTAGGTGAATGCTTTAAAAAATTGTAAACACTTTTAAGTCCACTCTTAGTACAGTTTTGACATACCGTATGCCACTGGGTTGCACTGAAATGCAAAATTAATTTAAAAAAGTGAGTACAGTACAATGGAATTGTAAAAAGTGAGTAAAGTTATACTAAGGAGCTATTTCTATGATGTGACCCTTAACTTTAACTGATGTTGTACAGTATGCATTTTGTTTGATTTAGTCATATTAAATAATATATTTGCCTATATATATATTTCTACAAGAAGTTATTTGAGGTTATTTGACAAAGTAGTTTTACAGTGTGTGAATGGGGAAATATTAGTGTCGGGCCATTATGATTTTACAGAAAAACTAGCAAATCTGATACCTGTAGGCCTTTATGTGATGTAAAGAACATGACAGAGTTGTAGACGGGTTTGATGATGACTAAGGTGTCCATATGTCAACATGCATACTTGATATGATTTATTTACTCTACTTATAGATTTTTAGCTGATTTAGGCTATATTCAAATGAAAACAGCCATGCTTAAACTTTAAGAGCGGTATGTGTTTTTGTGTATGTGTGTGTGAGAAAGAGACGCTACATAAGTTATAGATCTTATTATGACTTATTGTCACTTGGCAAACTTCCAATTGGATTTTAAAATGCAGATGTGCTGCTCATAGATGTGCATGTGATTTCAGATGTCTGTTTCAGATATTTGTCCAATTTTGTAATTATATTATAAAGCAAATGTTTGTTATCTTATTTTTGGTATAATGTCGGTATTTTAGTTTATCTAACCCGAAAATACATTTGTGAAGAGTGAACCAGTAGATGCACTGAGAGGAGATGCACTGTGAAATTTTAAAGTTCTCTGCTCCAGGCCTAGACATTGGGATTATCTTGTAACGAATCAGCTCATGAGGAAATATGAATAATTAATCATAACTAGTTATAATTAATTATGAATATTTAGATCCGCTGTAGATATTTAGCTGACCTCTCAGGGTCAACTGTCTTGTCAATTCTAAGAACGTTAATTTCCTGGTTAAGGGAAATAACTTCCTTACTGTACAATTCTACAAAAGCTTGTAGCATAAATCTGCATGATTAAGTGACTCCAGTTATAAGATCTAGCTAACAAAATATATATTGTGTGTTTGAGTGGTCCAGATGCTACAATCTAAATACTGTCTTTATATGATGAATATTATTATTATTATTATTGTGCTGTAAGTGTTTAGGTTTACAAAAATTTTGTGACTTAGTCCTAAAGAATTACTTGCAGAGGTTATAGTTCATCTGATCTACAAACCATTTCACAGCATCCTTCTTATAATAAAGTGTGTATGCTTGTCATCAGGTGTGATGTGGTCGCCTGTGGAGATTTGGAATTAGATGACATGGAGTAACATTACCGGTATGTTGTCTGATGAGCCCAGTGTTGTCATTCAGTTTCTCTGGGCATCTATAGAACAGGTCGGAGCAGGCAGGTGACCTCTCTTTTAGAGATATTGGTTTGTTTGCTTGCATTGCTGTCAAAAGCTTGGAATAGTTTCACAGCTTGCATTTTTCAACACAGTTATGTGCTCCGACGTCTGGAGTGGCCAGAAATTGAGGGATAAACTGTCAGAATAAAATCAGTCCTTCCTATCCTTCCTCTCTGTGCTGGTAAGTTAATGAGCTCAGTGTCTTCAAAAGGCAGTCATCCAAACAGCATGACAGCCATGTAACTTGAGATGCTCTAAACTGACCTGAAGAGCTTCATCAGTCTGACTTTGTGTCTCTTTTAAGTGCTAGTACTCATTGTTTTGTCATAT